TTTTTAATTCTGTCTCTCAGAGTGGGAATGCACCTACAATGTGAATTTCAGACCCCTCCATGATTTCTAAGTGGGAGAACTTGCAAAATCGCAGGGTGTTCAAATACTTCTGTTCCTCACTGTATACAATAAACTTAGTGGACTAAAAATATTCACCTCTAAAATCTAGTGAAGTCAAAGTATGAAGTAACAGAAAATGAAAATACTCAAAGTACAGATACCTCAAAATTGTACTTAAGTACAGTACTTGAATAAATGTACTTAGTTACTTTCCACCACTGTTCTTCCCTATGTACTTGGGATACTAAACCCTCTCAGCAGAGTAGTTTTTCAACAGTTTTAACCTGTTTGGTATGTACTTTACATGCAGTATTTCACATTTATAATTGTTTTATAAAACGTGGCCTTGGTAGAGGAAGTTTGATATCAGAAAACATTCTTCACAATCAGCAACTCGACTAGGGTGCAACCTGTGAATCACAGTCTCAGCCACCTACTACCACAAAACCTGCCACCGAGATGGAAAGGACACAGAATCCCATCATCTGCACAGACTGTCTGCAGTATGACATTAACCAGAGTCCTGCAGTTCATGAAGATGAAGAACCTCTTGAGATTGTACTCCCTCTTTTTCTTGGGTCTTAGTCCTGTTCAAGCAAGATGCAAAGAAACATTGGAGGAGGACGTGAGGAGAGAGGACTTGAGGATGTGGCTCAGGAGGTAGAGCGTTCGTCCCCCAATTTGAGGGTCGGTGGCTTGATTCCCGTTCTCCCCAGTCCACATGTTGAAGTGTCCTGGGGCAAGGCGTTGAACCCCAAGTTGCCCCTGATGGCCATAGCAGAGCCTTGCAGGGACAGCGCTATCGGTGTGTGTGTGTGGGAGTTGGTGTCGCGGATGGCTGCCTCGGTTCTGTACTGGAGACAAATTCCGTGTGGGTGTGTGTGTGGGTGGGTGGGTGGGTGTGTGTGTTAACATATCTGGCCACATAAAGTGATTATCATCATTAGTATGCTGTTAGAGAAACTAAATCCCTCATGAGCCACCAGCATGTCATGGCTCTTTCTTAAAATGAAGCCATGGCCACAGTGTGATACTAGAGAAATAAATTTTATTGATTTACAGGGGAGAGACACATCCCATTTGGAAGGTAAGACGGTTTTGCAGCAGGACAATTTTAGATCAGGGACGCCATTCCTTCTGTCTCAGGATATCAGTACAACTCTCTGAAAAATCGCTGAGGCATTTTAAGCAATAAAACCAGAAGAGGAGATAGTCCAAAAAGCGAGGATTGGAGTTCATCATATTTCCTGTCCCGTTTTTGTTGCGTGCATACTCGGATTAAGTGGAGAAGGGCAGATGAGTAGTTGATCCCTGTTTTCCGCTTGATATGCTCCCATTTCTGACAGCCTGTCATGTGGAGTCAATGTAAGATGTATTCACATGCTAATAGACCAAAGAAAATATTTGGCTGGTTAGCCATGTGATATGATGCTGAAACAACACAAAGCCCAGGAAAACCCAACCCTGGTCCACAGGCTGTTCATGTATGAGCTACACTGATGTTGACTGAGTGAGAGAGGCGCTGACTGAGCATCCACATCCCTTCTGTTAAGTATTTGATTGTGAATTTTTGATTTCCCAGTGAAGAATGAGTTTTCACTTGTATGTCATAGCTGTTGGCTGTGTGTTTAGCTCTACTGTTTCAAACCTCCAGAACGGATGGAGTCAACATTCCATGATAATGGAAATAAGGTGTTTGGGTTGAGCATGTGAAGAGGCAGTGTGTCACCTTTCTTTATCAAATGATTGCTGTCTCTATCAAGGCTGAATGGCTACATTCAGAATGCATTTTGTGTGGCTATGACAGGTTATGGTCACACACCCAAACAGCCGTTGTGACAGTTTTGCCCTTTGCATGGTTCATTATGCCCCCAGGCACTTGGACTGAATCTTGTAAATAATTTACTTCAGCTTGAGCTGTGCATTGGTGGCATATACACACTTAATGACAGAATGTCATTCTCAGCTTTGTCTTTGGAGACCAGCCACAACATGTTGATGAGGTGTAGGTGAATGACTAAGATGTAAAGGATGCTAGTAGTGTCTGCACCAAAGCTGGCAAGCATGTTCTCCCTTCCAGGAAAGGTAGAGTTTATACCTGTACAACTGATTTGTTTGGCAAATGGTGTGTATTTAGCCATACTACATAAGTGTGCAGGCGCCATTGGCTGGAGTCAAGAAATGGTCGTTTCCCCTTAGATACTGATGCAAGTCCACTAATACTGGATATCTGCCCATCCCATATTTACAGTACTAGTCTAAAGTTTGGACACACATCCCTCATTCAATTTGATGAGGAAGTGTGTCCAAACTTTAGACTGCTTGTGTATTTTTTTGAAACTTTATAAAATTCTAAATTATACAACTTCACAGTGGACATTTATCTTAGTCTCTGCAAATGATCATTTCTCTTTTTCTTTATTTAATCAAAGTCATATTGGAGATTAAAAATGTTTTCAAAAGGGCAGAATAAAAACATTCTTATATCAATAAATACAAACATAAACAGACTAAGAGTTACACATTATACACATTATGCAGTTAAGAGGCACACGGTTCATATGCCATGTGTATTATTTTTCAGGAGGTGCCCAGAATGAGAGAGAGAGGACTAGAAACATTAAAGGGCAGATAGAGGAAGAGCTGAGACATTTGGAAGATGAAATTGCTGCCTGTAAGCGGACACACGCACACACACACACACACAGACTTTAAGCAGTGGTTATCTTCAGAAAAATGCTTGAGTTACAAAAACAATTAATATTCAGGTCTCAAGTCTTTGATTTATGAATTAAAGTCTCCATAATGGTTCAGACATAACAGTAAGGCTTTGTGTAGACGCTGTACAAATACTGTTTATGAACCACAATTATGATTATTGCTTGTTGGAGACACAATTCTGTCCTCTGGTTTGTCTTTACAGCCTTTTCCACTACAGGCTTTGATTGCCACACATCACTAGTATTCAGTCCAGCCAACCCGGAGAACTCTATTGAAGACTGCCTTGCTGCGATGGGAGACCGGGTGGCCGGAGAGCTTGACACACACCTGACAGCAGCTGTACACACAGTCCTTGCAGGGTCAGTTTGCAGAGCTATGACTATGCTTGAAAAAGCAATTCACCTAATTAGATGAATATAGGATCGAACTGACAGAAGTGATGCTAAATGCACATCACTTGTCACTGGTGTGAGACAATTGGTGCTTTCTACACCATTAGAAATGATCAATTCAAGATGTATGTACTGTATATCACATGGCAACATTGCAGCCACATAATTTTCTCACCACACTATTTGTGCAGTATCCATACAGTATGAGGAGAATGTGTGTGTGCCACAACCTCAAAGAAAGACAAAATCATTATTGATTGATATACTGCTGGTATGATTCACTTTCTCCTGAGTGAACTCTTGAACTTCAGCCGTTATACAATCATGTGAATAAACTACTGGGTGAAATTGATTGAAATGTTTGCATTAGTTTTTGAACTTGTAAGATTAGAATTAAGTGATGTGACTAAATGACATTAAAGATATCAACTAAAGTGTTTCAAACAGAAGTCACTGGGAGTGGACTGGTACAGTATTCATAATCTTAACCCAGATACTATGTTGGCTGTTTGCACAGTATTGGAATGTAATGACAGTAATGAGACCAAACTATTGCAGACTTTGTGAATCCAAGTGAGTTAAACCTAAGTGATGTTCAGCTGAGCAAGACGCCTCATCAGTAGCTGGTCCAGACGAGGGGTCAACAGATAAAGTGGGCAACTTCTAATTTTGAATACAGTGCGTGTAATTGAGAAGGACATGGTTGTGAAAGAGCAACATTGTCAGAAAACTACCAGAGAGTACAAAGTGCCTTTTGGACATGCTCTTTGACTATACAATCGTACGCAAAAAAGGAAGAAAACCAAGACACACTAATTAGTGATTATACTTTAGTGACCATAGTGAAAGCCTATATTTTATGCATGGCTGACATTCACAATAAATCTGAACCAGGAAGAAGCGTTATCACTGGTACACAAGGGATCAGTTAGAAGGCACTGTGAAGTAATAATAGAAATCGGAGACGATGCGACAAATTCAAGAGAAGCAGAAAGCCCTAGATAGGTTAATGTGAGATGCTGGGTATAATGTGTATCCTTATTTCTGGCATGTACAATTTAATATTTCCTAAGCAGCTATACTGTATGTCAACCTTATGTTTAATGCCTCTCATTATGTCCGTGTGCATTTCAGACCTCTGGACTACCAGAGATTCAGAGACACAGCACAGGCTCTCTCAGTGCACACACAGGGAGGCTGGAGCAAGGTGAGTTAGCCAGGAGTTTTACTTGTCCTCCTTACTAAAACTCATGATAATGTTATTCAAGACATTTCTGAAGGTGCAGCATCTGATCTGCTCACTTCCCGTTATTGCACTTTCATACAGTATGTTTCTGCCTCCTAATGTCTTTTCTTAATCTTTACTGCTATTCTTTATCTTTTGTTTGCCTATACTAGTAGCTCCTACCTCTACTCCCTTCTCCCCCAGGTGCTAGTACCTTTGGTGCTGCTTCAGGCTTTACTAAATGAGGGCCAGTCTTTGACGACTCTTCTGCATCACGGGGTGCGCTTGCTAGAGGAGGATGAAGCCCACTACATTATCCAGCAAGGGGGATGGGTGAGTTTTAATTGAGGAAACCATCATATGCATATTAGTCACCTGGAGATAAAAAGTAACTTTAAAATATGTACACAATAAGAATATAAACGACTTGTTTACAGAATTTTACAGATGTTACAGATTTGTACATATGAGTAACAAAAGAAATATTAATTGGAACATTGCAGGGTAGAAATATATTTAAAAATTTTCCAATTACTTCAAGAAAATTGCACTACCATCGAAATGGTAAAATGTAAGCTTATAATCCCAGGCAACAACTTGGTACCTCTTAGTTACAGTAAGGGCTAAGTATTATGCAGGAAGTCAGGATGTTGTACGACGCAAACGGGAAATATGCTGCCATGCTTCAAAATAAATGCAAATGGCTAGGTGAGGGCATCAGTGACCTGTCTGTAAAGATCATTCATACTCCAGGGTCCCTGTCCGTTTTGTGATTTATAGCAACCACATAACCATACACACGAGATTAAAATGTAGATGATGTTGGGATAAGTAGGTATTATTATAATAAATGCTTTAACTTTGAATTTTTTAAAATTTTGTACTTGGTAATCATTCACTTTATGATGCTAACGTTAATCATGGTTTGAACCAAAAATGTTATATGCTCATTCAAACATTCAGTTGAAGCTGAACAGCGAGTATTGGTACTTGCAGTTCAGCTGTGCAAGTTGCAACTGACACTGTATGTCCTCAGTTGTAAACACCCTGATATAAAGCTAGTCCAGCGTGGTGTTGACTCACTCAGAGGAAGGGATAGCACAGGTTTGTCTTTTGAATGTTCTCTGTGCTCAAGCTTACTATGTTTGCATATTGTCATACATATGCAACTTGTGCAACTACTTTTCTTGTGTTTTGGATTTGCTGTTTTATTTCAGTGATGATACTAGTGAGGCTTTAGTTCTCCACTGTTGTAACAAGGCCCGTTGCATCACAGATGGCTCCCAGTGAAGCAGGCTGTGCTTACAAGTCGCTGACCCTGCTGCGCGGCTCACCAAAGCCTCACAGTCATAATACTCTGCCCAGTTTAATATGAACACATCAAACAAAGCTACATTCTTGCTCTGTGTTATGTCACGGGGGATGAACAGATGATAGGCTGGGGCAGGATCAGCAAAGGGTGGATGAAGAGAAAGGAGGAGGGAGAGAGAGTGAGCACATGAAGGATGGGATGGGATAGGATAGGATAGGAAGGGAGGGGGTGTGTCAGAGATGAGGGAATGGGCATGGTGAGCCAGTGAAGTCTTCATTAGCTTGACAGCTGCCTGCTTGCACAGATCTCTCCAAGTGGGTTTCTGCCTGTGCTCCGTCTCTGCCGCTCTCTTGTCTTTTTGACTGGCTTGAGCTTTTTCTATTCAAGTGTAAACCAGATGGTTTCAAGACACACTGTGGTAGGATGTTTTATTTTGCATCTTGAAGCAACTACAGAGAGAGCTGATTAGTCTTGATATGTGCAAGAGTGTTTTCTGAGAAAGTGTGGCAAATTCTTCACAGCTGAATAGCTCTATGTAAATATGCTGTATGTGTTGACTTATTATAGTGCAGTGATCTCAGTTCTGCTAATAAGTGAACATTACAATTTTTATATTAGAAAAGAGACCACAGAGAGCAAAGACAAAAGCTAAATGATTATCTCATTATATTACTTACTTGTAATGGTTACCTTTGTATATTACACTGTCCTCAAGTCTCGTTGCGGTTAGTGGTGACTGGCCAAAACCAATATTTAAATAGCCCATGGAATGCTCATTTCCAGCCATTTAATGTTTAATCTTGGGTACCTCTAGATTAGCTTTACACCCACCATAACTCCATAAATAGTCTTAACCTTTTTCAGAACAATAAAACTCCAAATCACAGGCAGAGCCTTCTCCTGAAAGCAAGAAGATAGTTTGTGAACACACAACTCGGTGGCACTAAAGAAGTCTCACCAGCCAGAGTCTGAGACAATTGTATAAACCTAGTTGCTTCTGCATAGAAGTACCAACAACATAGGTACCCCTTGTTTTTTGAGTTTTGTCACGTTTAAGATGATAATTCATTGTTGTAACATTTTAGATAAGTCAGAAAACACAAATGTAATGAGACTATTTAGGTGTTTGCTCAAAGTTGTCAGATTCCTCAAGTTGTCAATAAAACTTTGCCTTATGTTGGGCAGTTTTATACAGCAGGCAAAAGTATCTGTGATGAGTGGGTGTCAGTGAAACATAAGGTGATATAGTGCCTAAAATATAAATAAATATGACTAGATTAGCTTTTTCACCTTTAATTTAAGAGAATTTTAGAGGAATAGAAATTGTGTTTTATACCTTTTTATTTGTGGATGAAATGGTGTTTGATGGAATTATCCCACAGCAAGGTTTTAATTGCTTTGCTGTGGGTTGATGCAGGCATGTGCATATACTTATAACGTATTTGAAGTATTTCATCTTGCTTGTATCTCGCTGGATGTGAAAGAGCTTAGCCCAAAGCCTACATGGCTGTTCTTAGTGAATGACTAGTCATAATTTATTTTATTCAACTCAGCTAACTGTTCTGACCCACTGCAGTGCTTGTCCAGTAGGAACAGTAAGAACATAATCCTCATAAATGTCAGTGCATATGAGGTGATGAACATTATATTAATCAAAAATAATACCAAACTTAAATGTCACACTGTTTTGGACATGTTAAAATTGCCAGTTTTTTAAACCCAGAACTAATGCTTGGATTTGCAGGGGATACAGCATGTTGACAGAATGTGGCAATCATGTGCCGACATAGCAAGTATTTGTAATTTTTAAATTAAAAGGCAAAGTAGGACGGTCCACATCAACCCACGAGGTTATGCTAGGTGATGATTAAGGGAAGCATGGGGTGTACTGCCTGTTAGGTTCTGATAGCTGAAATACAGCTGGAACACCTGTGTCCTTGTCGACAGATTACTGTGCTCTGAACGAGATGTGGCTTCCTGCTAATAAAGCCAACGTGGTCCAATGACGACCACTCACATCTTCGAAGATGTTGGAACAAATTCTAAATTGGCATTACTTAGATAGACTGAGAATATGTGGTCAGTCTAAGTGGTTACTTTGTCACCTAAAAATATGTCGAAACTTAATAAGGTGGAATAATACTAGGTTTATGGGTGAAAATGATAATGGCTTTAAGCCTGGCTCAAAATTTCTGCTATCAGGCTCTCGCCCAGCTAACACCGCAAAGAGTAGATCTTTCCCGAGTCGAGTAGTATCAGTAATACCGGTGTAGCCATGCAATTTTGCCACAAGGGGGCTCACATCTACTCAGCAGCCTTTCCAGCACCCACAGTGGTTAATAATCATTTAAAAGATTTTTGTATCTAAATTACAATATGAACCAGCACCAAAATTTAATCAGTTGTTCCGTGAGCCGTCCTCTACCTCTTCAAAAATTTTCAGCAAAATCTGGTCATTACCTTTTGAGTTGTACTGTTAACAAACGCAGCCAAAAGCATAACTCCCGCCCTTGGTGGAGGTAATGATTCAACTCACTGAAATCATTACAGGTTGGTGTGTTTCCCAGCTTCAGCAATTCTGGAGGAAAAGAATATGAATCACTTAAGATAAAGTGGAGTTAATTCAGAGTGGACTGTTTTGTGGTGGTTTTTTTGTAATTCTTTATGTAATTCTTTACTAAATTAATGCTAGTTTCAAAAATCATTTTCAAGCATTGTTTATTATAATAGTAGGTTTTTCTGTGTTAAGTGTTATTAATCATAGCGGCTCTACTTTGAACAGTACCTGGTTGGATAGTGAGGTATAATTCACATACTTAAAGCTTTATTTGACAATGACCATTAAAGTGCATCAAAGGTTATGTAAAATATGGTTTACCAGAAAGCCAGAGCTTGTGTTCTACAGTTGGGAAACCTGTTTGGCAGGTTTTATTTATATAATTTTCACCACAGCACTTCGCCGAACTTCCTTTTAGGTTTGATGCCACCTCAGTGAGGTCTTACCAGCTGTAGAAAATTGAAATTATAAGACCCAAAAAGTACGATTATTGTTCCTGAATACCATCAGCAGTCTTTGGCTGTTATACCACAGGGCAGCCCTGTCCTGCTGTGCCTACCTGATAGGGAGGCTGTATCCTGACGGTGAGTGTTTTGTGACACTCTCTTGTTCTCCCGCATGCAAATCAGCTTATGCAGAAAGCAAATGTTAGACAACGATGGGACGTTGTTAGATTTAATCTCTCAACTGCCTCCCAGGAAGCAGCTAGTGTGCATGGCAGTGAGTGTCCTTGTATGGAAAATAACCTTCACAGCACAAGCATGTCATTTAAAAATGTCTGCATAGGTCAGTGCTTGTTTACATACTGTATGATTTAACTGGTATGTGGAACAGATGCAAATTGTGAATTGTGTTTTTAAATGAGAGACTGTCGCCCTGAGAGCTGGTCAGAACCTTTCGGTCTGCTGTTCACACAAACAAGCACCCTACCTTTTAGACAAACACCTCTACGCTCACTGAACATCATCAGTTGAAGTCACACCTATGTGACACGCACAGTAAGAAAGCAGAGAAACCTGCTTATTACAGATCCACATTTAACTTCTGCTCAATCAAGCACAGTTTATCATCTGGCAGATCAGTTGTCATACACCCATCCTTGTCTCAGCTGTTTTTCTTATTATTTTTTTTTTTTTTTTAATTCTGCCAAGATGCACATGCTAGACAAATAAATTCTTTAAAACTCATTCAATGTGATTTCCTGAATTTTTTTTTTAATTCTGTCTCTCTGAGTGGGAATGCACCTACAATGTGAATTTCAGACCCCTCCATGATTTCTAAGTGGGAGAACTTGCAAAATTGCAGGGTGTTCAAATACTTCTGTTCCTCACTGTATGTAACTTGCCCTTGTGTCGGCGACTGTGGTTCAGTGGGTAGAGCAGTTGACTGCAGTCCACATGTCAAAGTGTCCTTTGGCAAGACACTGCACCCCCAAGTTGCCCCTGATGGTTAGAGCCATCGGTGTGAGTTGGTGCTGCAGGTGGCTGCCTCGGTTCTTCCGTGTGTGTGTGTGTGTGTGTGTGTAACATGCTTGGCCAAATAAAGGTGATTATTAGTATTATTATTGATTATCCTGTAGTTGTCATTGTGCAAAGTCACTGGCCTATTTTTGAACCACCTACTGGAGATTCTGCATCACATCATTGCATCAGTGGGTGAATAAATATGGCAGTTATTGACATGACAGTGTTACAAGCCTTTGCAGCTGGGACCACTTTCAACTGTTTTTTGTTTGTTTTTGTTACAAGGAAAGAAAATAAGTGACTCTAGGTCAGAACCTTCACATGGTGCCAACCAAATAACTTCTTTAAACAAAATACAACTAACAGAGAATCTCACAAATCTACTTTAATAAAAAGAAAACGCGAGGTAAAAGGTCAACTTGACTGCTTTAACTAGGCCCCAGACAAAACACAGGGTTTCACCAATCTTTAACAGAAATTGAACCTATATGTAATGTAAAGGGTCGTACCTGATCCTTCTCCCCAAGAAGTGAACTAAAAGGACCGTTTCTATAGTTAAGTCATTACAAAACAGTCTGATATTCCAGGCGACAGAGAAGGAACAGTGTACACAAAAGATGACTGAATACTGAATCCAAGACCCCTGAACCAGTTAGGAAAGTGAGGCCTGTAGTAAAGGATAACAGACATCAAACATGTATTCAGTCCAGCAGACCCTACTGTTTGAATAATTGTACTTAAATGTGTTTAGTTTGAACAAGCTGACCTGTGTCAGTTACTCATCCCATTATGATCATGTGATACTGTATGTAACAGAATGTTAGAGATGCCTGTTGGTACAGTGTTGGGTAGCAGCTGCATACCACTGGGTGGCATAACAGGCTAAGTCACGGTGAAGACCTGACACATTAACAGCATTGCTCTTAATTAAACCCATTAGTTGTAGGTAGATGATGACATAAGTTAATTTTAGTATTCGGAATATAATTTCATTTGTGTGACTGAATCCAGTATTTACTTCAGTTTCTATAGTTTATTCTTTATATTTTCTTGGGTGATAAATGACATGGCAGAATAATCATATTACTGCGGTGTTTAAGTTCACATTTTTCACCAACATTTGGGAATTTTTCTCAACTTAAAATAATTCTGAAAGAGTCGGTGCAGTTGGACACTGCTTGACTGACGTGGGAATTCACATGCATCATTCATAATCATTCTTTTTATTTGAGTGTTATATATGTGCATATATATGTGCATGCATGTATACATGTATGCGTGCGCATATGTGTGTGTGTACAAAATGCTGATACCATCTCTGTTCCTGTCAATCTACCACAGGGTGAAATATTCAGGCTCGAGTCAGAGGAGGAGAGAGGTGTCACCATTGCTGAAGACAGCAACGACATTTACATCCTGTCAGGGGAGCAGCATCCTGACCAGCTCAGCCCTCCATCGTCGCTGCTCTGCACCGGAGACAACAGCAGTGAGCAGAGCTCCTGGCAGACAGAAAGCTTACCTGTATCTCTGGCTGGCCACGAGTCTTGGGCGCAGGTTGGTGTGATGGATCCTGAAGACCTCAAGAGCCTAGACAGCAATGAGGGCGTGGCTCTGGCTGAGGAGCGCAGTGAAAACAACTCCTCAAACTCAGATATTGTCCATGTAGAGCGTGAGGAGGCCGAGTTGCTGGAAGGAGGTGAAGTTGGAGTGATAGAGGAGAGCATGATAAGTGTTATAGGCACAGAGAGCGAGCTGGCCGAGCTCAGGGAGGAATTTAGGGACCAAACTCCACCTGTTCCAGTATCAGCAGAGGCAGACTCCACAATCCCAGCCTCCCTCACTTCATTTGAGGCACCAGAGATGCCTGCAAGCTTTTTGACAGAGCCTTCCCTCATCTCTTCAGAACCAGAGCTGCCTACC